TTACTTTGTAGCCGATCCATCATCCAAGATGGCCGCCAGCGGGGGGCTTAGTTTAACATAGGACCCTATGGGAAATACATACAAATGTCTTCTTTTAGAGTACCACTGAATGGAATGAAACCAAACATGGCATGAATGTTCCTTATGAAGTGCTGACCAAGTGTTGCTACTTTGTTGCCGATTTACTGTTCAAGATGGCCACCAGGATATTTTATTAAATAACGGGACCAATATTAATCAAAATTTGGCCTCAATCATTATTTGGGTATCTGTTATGATTTTTATCTATCTTTACATGATTTCTAAAACCAAAGTAGAGTCAGGTGAGCGACACAGGCTCTCGAGAGCCTCTAGTTTTAAGTAGCCCAACTTGTTGACATCCTGTTTTTTCACGAATGATAGTTAATTCGAAATAAACACATTATATTGTATATTTTCAAAGTTTTTGGTTTACTACTCTCCTGTAATTTGACATTTTATCATTATATGATTATTCATAATATGTTTTGTATATCAGCCTTATTTTATGCTTTTTGTTTATTTACAAATATTTTAATTATCAGTTTCTGTATTTTTCTGATTTCCCACATGACAAAAAAAAAGGATACCATGAATATATGCCTTAACCCTATATTTCACATCTCGTTCGCTATGCCTGTGTCTAGTGAAGTTATTGATTTCAATGAACGTAATCTATTGAGAAGCAGATTTAAGGGGGAAAGGGGGCCGACCTCTTTAGCAATATTTGTGTTGTAGGGTCAGTTTTGGTCAAATTTTCAATAATTCTTAACAGTTTTAAGCATAATTAACTTTTGCCCCCATCACTGATCCAGAAAGTTTTTGTGTCTAGGGATTCAATATCGTCATTGGCAACTTTTGGTTACAGAAAATTTGGGACCTAGGTTGCGGCCAAGGGTTTCCTCAAACTTTTAGGTCCGAAAAATGCACAAAATCGTCGAATTTTGACAACATATCCAAAATGTGCTGACTTTGACGCCTAGAATGTACTCTTATGAAGAGATTTGCTTAACCTAGTAATACAGTTTTTGAAATAGATTCATTTAAGAACAAAATGATGGCCATTTTGAAATTTTATGATAAAGTTGAAATTGAAGACCATATCTGGCCCAAGTGAACCTTGCTCCTTTGATTGTACTTGTAGAAAACTTATCACTAACGGGATATCACATCCTATTTTTTACGGTGATGTTGTTTTAGGGCCCGTAAAATATACCGGATCCATGAAAGCTTATCGATCATTTGAATAAAATTATTCTTAAAGGTTATCAAAGAACACTGTGAAAAAAAATCTTGGAATACTGTTTTTATCTGTATTAACATTGATTTTGTTATTAATATTACGGTTCCACATCTTGTCGATACGTATACTTATAAAGGTCATGTTACTTAGATTGTTTATAACGTCTTTACTAAATCCATAGGATGTGTATTGATTGTCCGCGGACACATTGTTTTAGTTGTTATTGGTTTCGAACTAGTGAATGTTCTAAGATCGATACTTTGTGGTTTTAGTGTTTATGTTAGTTGATTTTGTGGTTTGTATCGATCTGATGAGTCAAGAGGGTCGTAATGGGGGTATCTTCATAACGAATAACGGTAAAAATTCTTGCTATTAACGGTAATTTTTGGTACATGACGATAAAATGTACACTTTCTTTTAAACGATAAAAAAAATCGACTGATTTTGACGAATCACGTTAATTTTTTTCCAAAAATAACGGAAACGATAATTATTTGAGACCTGTGACGAATCACGATAAGGATATTTTGACGAATCACGGTAAAATTTTATCTAATTTGACGCTAACGGTAGCCGAAAATGACCGTTTGACGCCTGACGGTAAAGGGCATTCCTACCCTCAGTCAAGCCCTTTTAAACTGATTTTAAGTGTTCTTACATTGGTGCTGTTGACAACACTGTCCCAGGTTAGGGAAGGGTTGGGCGCCCGAAAACATATTTAACCCCGTCAGATTCTGTATGCGCCTGTCCCATGTAACTCAGTGGTTGTCGTTGGTTGCTTAGTATCATATTTGTTTTACGTTTGTTGTTTTGTACACAAATCAGGCTTTTGATTTTATCGTTTATTGTTTAAACTGTATCACACGTTGTCATTTCAGGGCCTTTTATAGTGCGGTGACTTATCTGGTGGATAGTTGTCTCATTGGCAATCATACCACATCTCCTTATTTTATATTGATCAAATTATGTAAAGTTTTTGTCAAATGAAGTGTTTCTTTTGGGAGGAAGTTAGTTTCTTCTTTTAAGAACCTATTACAAGGGTCTGGGTGGGGTTTACATAATAGAGAATAAAGGGCCAAATCTACAGATAAAATGGACAAAAAATAAAGAATATAGAAAAGTCTGTCAATGAATTACCAATAATATTTCCAAGAATTTGAAATATTTGTATTTGTTCCAACTTCTCGCCATGATAATTTTTCAAATGTATGATTAAGTTGTTTCTTATCTTTACTCGTGCATAAAATCGATGTCTTCCATGGAACGCCTGCATTTTATAAAATATATACGTTGTATTCCGCGAATGCCAACAAAATAAACTGGATAGATGTTGTTTTAGTAAAAACTGTATCTGAAATTATCATTTTTTCATAAAAACAACAAACAATTAAGATAAATTCCGATTAAAATTAAAGGTAAAAATTATTTGAAATTATGAAAATGAAAGATTTTGAAAGTAATTTTTTTGTACCTAAAAATTTATCCTTTTTTTTTTTGTGGAAACAAATGAAATGACTTTGTTTTTTTTTAAATATAACCTAAAAAAATACCCAGAAACAATATGATGCTTCTTCCACTACCGCAAGACACAGTCTTTAGTATCTTCAAGAGCATTCAAACATAAATAAGCAATAACGCGAACTTTCATTTTCTGATACGATGGTCTGTGTAACTAATGGTGACTATGTTTGAGGACGTCTGATTTGTATAGCACTATAGAAGAACTACAACACATGTAGAGAAACGTCTTAACATCGATATCGTTGATTGACTATGTTACTAGTAATGGTGGATTTTTACGTCCAATGGCAAATATTACATGTATATCAGAACTAGAACATGTGATGTGAATATGAACCCTGTTTTGATTAGTCCGACACCATCAACACGATTAAGTCCACTGATACTGAAGATAATTAATTGTAATTTTTCGTTTAGAATGTGAATAAAGGAATAAAACTTTATAGAAAATAACTTGCAAAATTGATACGAACTTTTGCTTAAATTATATATATTTTTTCTGTTTTAATTCGCTCAAACAGTATTTTGTTATTTCGTTGTAGCATTCCAATGAATATTGTCTCAATAAGTATATTGCATTGCGCGGGTTACTTCATGAGCAACACGACAGGTGCCACTTGTGGAGCACTATATACTTACCCTTCCGGAATACCTAAGATCAACTCCGGTTTTCGCTGGGGTTCGAGTAACTCAGTTGCTTAGTCTTTGTTTTTTTGTGTAGTGTTTCGAAGACCGTTATTTGTCTTTTTGGTTTTTTGTCATGATTTTGTCGATCTCTTTTTCTGACGAATATGTTATTGGGATTATTTCGGATTCGTATGAAATTTTTATCCATTTGAAATTTATTGAACTGCATAGAGCAAGAAATACGTAGCATTTATACTTTCAAACATACAATTGATTAAAAGGTTGCTTAAAAAAAGACAGATCCACAAATGTTTAAAATTTGCGTAAACAGCAACGATCAAGAGCGAATTCGGTGACCACCATTATTTTCATATAGTATTTTCTTAATAAAATTATAGACGAATAATTTAGGTATTTTTACCAAATTGTCTGAAAACAAATATTTACCGGTAAATAGTTTCAAAAATTTACAAAGAATTACTGGATATGTACGTGAAGCAAGCCTAACTATTACCCAGTTAATAGTTTCAAACACTATTAAACCGGTTAATACTTCTTTTTACGGGGAAAACTGGAAGCAAACAGTTTCCCTTATTTTCTGTATCGGTTGAATTGACTCGTATTCCGAATGATTGTTTATACTGCAACTGATCTATTTAGGCAGTCAAATTGCATTGGTCGTATAGTCCCCGTCAATCGCCGTTTATGACGGATACAATGCGTTTCCGTAGGGTTTTATTTATGACGTAAATAAGGAATATAAGTTCGCGGAATTTTACGTTGTCCTCTTCAAATTGAAAAATGATGGTAAACCAAAAATATTTGCATTCCTTTGGAACAGTCGTTGAAGTTGCAGTACAAAGAGAATAAACTATACATTGTATCAAAATACATACCAGTTTTCTTAATATAATAAAACACTTATTTACTTGCTATTTGGCTTTGCATCGTGAAATAGTTGGTGTCTAGGAGGAAATTAACTTGATGTTTAAAAGAAAGATATGTCGTATGATTGCCTATGAGACAACTATCCACCAAAGTTCAAATGAAGTGCTCCATAGCCAGTAGATAAATGTATACTAACGTTTGATATTTAAAACAAAAGTCTGTTTATGGAATTTCAAAATGTCCCAATTCAAATTGAAAAAACATTATTTGATGACACTTTTTATTTACATTCGATTCTGATCACAAGTTTTTAGTTGATTGTATCTCTGAATGCTTCACTTTTTTAAATTGAGGTGATACTCGATAAATAATACATACACAATTCCATCAAAATCAGATAGATTGATTGTTGTTTGCTTAACGTCCATTGGCAAATATTTCATACATTTTCAGGACGACATAAAAATCTGAAATATCACCCTATTAATTACACGTTTAATTCATTTGAACCTACAGCACACGACTTTGTGTACATCTCACGTATTAATGTTAATTTTTTTTTATGTCTGTATGATAATATACACATACAGAGTCCGATGTTGCCGTGCCCAACGGCTCCATCAAGTCCTAAAATGGTGCACATTGTCGATATGTCCCACAATTGTGTTTACCTTTATGTGTATTGAATAAATAAACCAACATATCAGTTAGTATTACGTATTTATTTTAAATGTACATCTCTCTCTCTCTCTCTCTCTCTCTCTCTCTCTCTCTCTCTCTCTCTCTCTCTCTCTCCACAATTACATATATGTAAATACGAATCCATTTAATATTTCGGTTTACACAAATGATTAATTTTATTTTAGTTAATACGCTTCGCATCGCATAGACCATCTTATAGCGTAGATAGGATTTAAGGCTTGTAATATTTGACAACCAGCCTGGTCAAGGAATCTTGAATATATACATTGAGCATGTTGCTTATTTTCACGTGAAATTCATCACGTGCACTCAGATTTGCTCCGTCTGGTAAACCCAAATTAATAATGGCGGAATTTGAATCGTAGGAAGGAAATTGAGCCCTGCTACACACTTCTCTTTTCCTGTCATTGCTAAGTTTATAGTCTATACACATCAAAGCATTCCGGCCAACAGAATTGTTTAATCGCAAAGCAACTGACAATGAGAGTTCAAAGCTACCGGACATTTGAACTTCGAACTTCTGTCCTCGTGTATTGAAAGATAGAAAATCACATTTCGCATCAACAAATGGAATTTCTTTTGAAGAATTAACCAATGATTTTAGTTTTGTTTGATCCAATTTGAAAACGCAAAGTTCAGAATGAGATTCGGATGTTTCATTTCTTGACATATTCATGACATAACATATACTAAATGAGATGCAGACACACATAATCACAATAAACATATAAAATCCTCCTTTCTTCATTAAATCCAGATTTTTCCGATATGCTGTTACAATCGGATCTGGTGGAAGAATGTTATCGCTGGGTACAAAGTTCTGAGAGGAAGAAGGCACATTGTTTTTCTGTTTAAGCTCTTGAGACGAATTTAAGCTGCTTTTACTTAAGTTTTTGATCTCGAGTTTCTTTTGGTGGCACGTTTCGTTGATTATGTTTAAACTGCTGGAAGACATTTTGTTAGAGACAGGACGGTGACTTTCGTTCATGTCATTCAGTGAGTTTCGGATGTTTTCGGCCATTTTCTCTGGATTATAAAGCTACCATTAGATCACACCGATGCAGAAAAGATTTAGATCGACAACTTATCACCAATCTATAATTTAGAATTGTTAGTTATAACAGAATTAATGACTTCTATGTTTTATTCAATACGAAAATTTCAAATATAGAGAGCAGAAAAAAGATTTAGATCTTCAAAATCCGGCTTACCTCTCCAACTTCATGCAATATTGTAAACGTATGTTGATATCAAAAGGTCGATATAATAACATTGGCAAATATTTATATCTAATTATGCACTGAATCCCAAGAAAACTTATTGAAATAGATGACTGCCATCATTGAAGGCAGGGACACATCCAGGGTTCGAGGAAAGGGAGCGTTATTGTCCAAAATGGTAAAAATATGGCAAGAGTAGCGAAACAAATTTAGATTTGACGATTGTAAGCAAAAGAGTTATAATTTATCGATCAGAGGAGCCGTATGACCCCTTTTGAATCCACCAATGGGTGGTCATAAGTGCATTTACAAAAGGTTAATGCGATTTTACTCTTGTCATCGTTTTTTTATATTCAAAGCTAAAATGGGAATGTTTTGGAAACACAATGAACATTGAATTATTTGAACAAATATACTTAAGGTTTTTTCAATTTTATCATTTACGTCAACGTCAACGATAGACATGGCTGTTGAAAACAATATTATAACAAATATTGCAAACTTCACATATTTGTGTATTGGAGGTATTGATATAAAAAAAAAAACGAAGAAGAGGAATTCTTAACCAAAACCCCTCAATTTGAATGTATCCAAATCTATAATTGAGAGTGCAATTTTTAACAACACCTAAATTTGGTTGGGAATTGTTTTATAACAAATCGTGGGTTTTTTTTTAAGAATGTCCTTCTTATATTTTTTTATAAATATAAATTGTGTTTTTATTGAGAGTTCATTATTTTGATAAATTTATAAATTTGGTTTTAGTAAGAATATCCTTATTCATATTTTGGATCGATCATGATTTGTGTTTTATGTTAAGCATGTATTCCTTATAAGATTTTTTGATGAATACTAAAAATTGCCCAAAAACATCAAAATTGTAGCCATCTGTTGGTATTTTAATATGAACAAATTTTGAGAAATATGCCACAGTTTCGTTTGCACCTCCAAACAAATATCCAGCGGTGATACTGTAATTGGAACATTTTTTGAAAATTGCCCTGGAGTGAAATAAATGCAGGAAAAATTACCATGCTTGAACTGGATACGTTTTCCTTCTTTCCCTTGCTCACAACACAATAAAACTTCTTTTAAGAGGTATACTTACAAGTGTTAGACCGCTTCATCCGGCATCAGTAAACCACAAACATGTTTTACAAGTACTTGGTGTCTTTTATACACAAATTCAATTAAAATTCCAGTATAGATGTGATTCATATTATTGTTTATAGTGGTTGCATCATCATCATCATTTAATTTAACCTTAAGTGGAAAACGACAGACACTATTGAACTCGATCAACGGAAACGATTAATTCGAAAAGGAAAAATTACATTTATTTTTTAGTGTGTTTTTTATTTTATTTTAAACGATCATTACAGTTCTTGAACTCGGCCAGACTGCATGGTCATTCTGCGGAAAACCCGTTCGTCTGACTGACTTACAGTTGAAAGTGGAAAATCTGTTTCTTGCGGACGTTTTACCAAAAGTCTTTCAGAAACCCAATATAAAGTTCCTTCAAATGACTTTTTGGGGTAATATGACATAGAAATTGAAAATAAACAATCATCACACAATAGTTTATTAATTAGTTTAAAACCATAATAAAAGTACAATACGTTGCGGGTAAAGTGGGTTAATACTCTAATAATATAATATCTTGAAGTGCAGCACTGATTAAACGTTTGTTTCCAATTAACTATATGCATAATAGTGTAGCTTAACAAAGGATAAAATACACACGTCGTTCAAAGTTAAAAAAAAATAATTCTCGAACATTTCCGATATAAAAACCCCTGTCCAATTTCGCTTACTATAATCACGGAATCTAGTTTTCTTTTGTAACCACGCCAACTCAAATTTACAAAACATATCATGGAAAATTTTTATAAATTCAAAATTTTAATGTGTAAAATATGCTTTATTTCTATGCGTTTTGTAACGCCCAGTGACAAATACTTCACGCGAATAAGTTGTCGGTACATCTGTCTAAAAAAAAGTATTCTTAAAGTTAAGAGACCGTGAAACAGGGTGGTTATCTTTACGGCACTAAAACAAGAGCTTTCTGGACAATATATGAATTTAAGTTATCCTACAAAAAGGTAGCTTATGGACGGACTGCTATAAAAGATGTTGCCCTTGTTTTATATCATACAGGGAGAGTAGCACTTTATAGCAGCATGCATCAATAAGCTTTCTTTACAATTGTTGTTAGTCACTCTAAATTTTTAATATCTTTTTGTAACTATTTTTGACTGTCTTTAGATGATCGCTTCGCCAACTTCCAAAGCAAGGTAGTCGGCTATCCAACTTTCTATCTAGCTATCTAACTTTCCCGAAATACTCCCTTTGGTTTTTAAATAAGCGAGCGTCGATATTTTTCGCTGTCGTACGGTTCGTCTGGCTACAATGTGAATTAAAGTGGCCTCTCCTAGTTTCTTTCTTTCTTACTATTCTTTATTATTATTATTTTTTTGTTAGTGTTTTGTTTTTATATGGTTTGATGTACAATGTAGTTAGTTTTACTTTCCCGCCAGTGGCAAATATTTGATATATATTTATAACATTAACAAATTTAATAGCTATATAATCAATTTCATTGATTCTTCAAAGTGGAGCCACAGAGATAAAGGGTCTTACCTACGGTCTACTCCTGGAAAAAGAGGGCATGGGAAAATTTCTGTTTTCAACAGATCAACCACTTACTCTTCAACTAGTTGTTGCAAATGTCCGTAATCGCATGAAGTGTACAGCGTTCTCTAAACACGGGGTTTCAATTGAATATACTGCAAAAAAAAAACATTTTCAGGCTATAGTGATTGTGAATCATATAGATGTTGCTTTAGAAAATGTTGTATTTTTACATATTTTTTCCCCTTAATATACGATAAATCTGTCAAAAAGGCCATTCGGTCAATCGTCAAACTATTTATTTATCCATTTTTTTTATCCGTCTCGGAAGATTTTCTGGCATAAGAGCATTATCATTGTTACGACAATTGTTAATAGAAAATCGAACCAAAACAGACATGATTCTATATGCCAAACAATTAAATCTTAAAGATGATTGACGTTTGTCGGATTGCCTGTAAACATTTGTAGGGTATGATAATTTTTTCTAGAAATAATGGAAGCAAGACTTGATACAAATCATTTTGATAAAATAAAAAGTGGAAAATAAAACTTAAAAAAAATGAAATTTCGTGAAATATGTGAAGTGCCATGGATCCCACCGTTGAGTTTTGTGAAGACGTTTATACTGTTGCCAAAAATAAAGTTTGGCTGTAAGAAATGTAAGCAGATCATGTTCAAACGAAACAAGTTGACCATTCAGTTAAATGTAAGTATACCTTTACAAAATAAATGAACAAGGATCAGAAAGACAGAATAAAATTTCAAAGGATGTTGTAGAAAAATGAATTGATTTAGTGCTCATTGTTGGATTAATGCGTACAGAAAATACCACGAGAGCACGTTAACGATATACCAATTCGTACGATATGTGCGTGGACACAGAGAAGTAAGGGGTATACATTTTTTATGACTGGCACAGAAGAAAAGACGTTTTTACTATAGAGTACGAAATTTTGCTTTATAACTGGTGACTACGAATCCATCTGATGATTTTTGGTTCTAAATCTTTAACGATAAAAAAGTAACATTCTCCAAACTCGTTCGTTAGACATGTTCGAGTTAAGTTCTCAATCAGATCGTACGTTTTTACATATTTGTACATTCTACGCAGTCCAACGTTCACAGTCCTCTCGATGGAACATGTTCCGATAATCATTTTACATACCCGAATTACATAATTGGTAATTTTTGTTATTAACCCCTTCGCCCCCAATCCCGCCTGTAGTCGTGATAGCAACCGCCATTCTTTGATAGCCCGTATGACCCCCACCCCCTACTTTTTTAAAACTGCCCCAGCTGAACTGTCTTGACAGTAGGGAGTTCAACCATGCAATTAAGGGCATACGATACAGTTACAGGGGAGGTAATGACGTTGCCAACGTAAATTGTTATTTTTCGCGACGTCAAACTGCGACATATCGGGAAAAGATGCATTTTTCTACTTATTTTTATCATTCAGTTATCCAAAGGATAGAAATGTTCCAAAAAACAAAATTTTGAGTAAATGTCTAAAATTTCGACCCCATTTATCTCTTAAAGTAGCACATGAAGGTATATTTTTTATTACATATTTGCATTGACTAGGTGAAAAATAGCTTGTATGCAAATTTTCGTAAAAAAATCACCGTGGGATCAAAACTGTTACGTATGCCCTTAATGGTCCATAAACTCTACCCAGATGTGTTTTTATGAAAATATGACAACTTTAATGCCCTTCTTAGAGTTCAAAATCGGAAAATTGTGAAAAGTAGCCAAATCAGGTGGGGTAGGAGTCATTTGATGGCCACTACGTTAATGGTATGGGCCGTAGGTATTAACTATTATCATAAATACATGCACAGGTGATACAGGAACACAAGGAGGTATAATAAGGCAAAAAAAAAAAAATTTGGTCTGTAAAATCTAGGTCACAGTTTTGTCAGAAATCCGAAAAACAGACATTTAGGCAGACCTGGCGTTGGCAATAATAATTCTCCAGCAAGACAATCAAGTCACATTTACTTCCAGTCAGTATGGATGGACTGCTGTCACTATAAGGTAATAATTGAATGACAAAGAAACACAATGTGGTTAATGTTCACCTCTCAAAGTCGTATTAAAATCGAAAAATAGACTGAAAATGACTATTTTCAGTAGGGATGGGTTCAAACCCACCAGAAAATATACCACCTCCCCCCCCCCCCCCCCCCCCCCCCCCCCCACAAATCTCAATACATAGTTTAATAGATCAGCATTAGTTATAACTGATTTGCATATAATTTGCATATGTTTGCAAATTTTCGAAAATGCCTGATTTTCTTGGGATCGAATGAGTTAACAGCAAAAGTCTGCATCTTCACGGATTAGAGACGCAAAAACCGAGATGCAGATACAGTTTCAAAGAAAATTTCAGAATTTCGTCATCGGAATGTTTTTATCAGAGTTTTTTTTTATAATAGCAACTGATTCCCTTAATAGATTACATCATAATGACCTCCCCCATTTTTCCAAGCTAATATTTATCCACTTGACATGGTAAATTTAGTTAGAATTTGAAAACATAATTATGTATAGATTAGGTTAATATTATAATGATTTGGTAGAATCTGTTTCCTTGATAATTTCAATGATATTTACAATAGATCTGCAACGGGAAATCACACGCCTATATATATAGCTAAAATAGAAGGTACTTGGAATTAATTGTACAAATGCTAGAAATGTTCATTTTTATGAGTTTATTCACAAATTTTAGAAGTATATCCAAACCAAGCTATCAACTGTGTTCATATTAGCTTTTGGGGGAAAAAACAGTTAGATAAATGTTCTGCCAGTAAACTGAAAGCAGATGCCGTATATATGAGGGTCTGAATGGGGTTTACAGAAGAGAGAATAGTGGACGAAAAGTGCTGAATAAAGGGGTTAGAAATATAAAGAATGGAGAAAAATAGGCCAAAAATAAAGAATAGAGAATAATGGGGTGCTAAAACATATAGAATAGAGAATAACAGGTAAAATTGGTATAGAGAAAAATAGCTTAAAAATAAAAAAATACAGAATTGAAGGACCCCATCCAGACCCTCATATATGAACAAAATGTTGATTTTGAGAACTATCTCACAGAAAAAGTGTCACAAGGTTACATACTTCTTCCCATAAGTTTCAAATGAATAGAACTGGGTAGTTATCAAGGTATTCTCCGACACAACACTATCTAATAGATGTACTTCAAGTATTGTTGAAGATTAGGCTCATTTTCTTTTTTATTGCAATTTAAGTATGAAAGAGGTGATGATTATTTTGTCTAGCATTGCAAAAGTATTTTTAGTGGGGTTCGTGTTGCTCAGTCTTTCAGTTTTCTATGTTGTGTTTTGTGTACTATTGTTTGTCTGTTGGTCTTTTTCTTTTTTAGCCATGGCGTTGTCAGTTTATTTTCGACTTATGAGTTTGAATGTCCTTTTGGTATCTTTCGCCCCTCTTTTAGTACTTATTTTAATAATTTGAACTCATTTGGCTTTTTAGTTTAGCAAATGTTGATTTACTTAAAAAAAAATAGTCCATACAAAATAAAAAGAAATGGAAGATATAAACTGATTACTATCTTCATTTTTCTTTTTTTCTTTATAAATGA